AACTTAAGGAGAAAGTGTTGCTGCAGTGGGTTTCCTCTAGGTCATCAGCTCTATGCCTTTTTTTCCCCCGGGGTATTGTAAAGCTGCTGAATTAAGGGGTGCAAATTGCAGATTCACCACTACAGGTGATTCCTAGGTCAAAGATTCTGACACTGAGGTTTCTGAGTCAAAGTTTCAGGTACGTGATTTGGGCTATTGGCTAGTGAATCTGAGACAGGGTCATTGGTTTATACTCACCACAGGATAACACGCTGAGTCATTCTAGAGTTGGGATCAGGCTCCTAAGTCAGCAAGGAGCCTGATTGGTTTCGTTGCTTTTTAGTTGTGAATTGGTTTCGTAACCAAGTCCCATGAATACCTTTTAAATGTCATGCTTACCCATTTTATCTTATCTGCTTTCAACTTTTTCCACCTAATTTACATAGGTACAATTTTGCATCTTCTATCTGGTTTGTAGTTGATATCTTTTATTGCTTTATCCTACTCAACTAATTTCTTTACTGCCTGTTTTTTTTTTTTTAATGTGTATTGATGACAATTCTAAACTCATTCTACTGATTAACAGGTGCTTTAAAATCTGAGTATCTTATGCATTTACTGCCTGGGATGGCCCGTCCTGCCAGCTTAAGTATGTGGCCACTGCTCACAGTGCCATGTGATAATAAGTAAGGGAGAGATGTTGCCCAGACTCTTCTAGGAGAAGCCAGTAGGACCTTCTAGGGTTTGTATGCAAACCACAGCAATATGTGGAGTGTGGCAGAGCATGGCCCCACGAGGATGTGACAGTGGCCAGTGCAGCTCAGCTTAGTCTGAGAGGAAGAGCTGGAGAGGAGAGCCAAGTCTATACAGGCTTGACAGCCACAAAGACCTCAACAGCTAACATGGCTGAGTGCACTTGATGTGCTATCTCATTCAGAAAAAAAGGACCAATCAGAAAGGAGTTGACTCCTATTTCTACCCTAGAAATTGCTAACCTATTTGCATCTAAATGATGTTCGTCACCTCTCTTCATCACCTCCTCTGGGGGCTCTGCATGGATTTGGCCCCTGCATTATGGATCTTTCTTACCTAAATCATGATTCACATGAACTTACTAATGTGCTGTGTAACAACTACCATCTTAAACATAAAAGCCCTCTTTTGATTCCATGGCTCCCTCCAGCTACCCCTGCATTTCTCTGTCCCCCTTCCCCCTCTCTGTACCCACTTTTATTTTACAGCAAAACTACTCAAGGAGTCTCCCTGCCTCCATGTCTCTGCCTTTCATTCTCTCCTTAGTTCACTCCAGTCAGACTACTGTCCTGAAGCTCTTCATCACTTTTGTTTTAGGGCCACCGACATCCTCTTTCTTACCAGATACAATGGGCATGTCCTCACTTACTCAACTACTCAGCATTGTTGGGCCTGGTGGACTACATTCTCCTTCACCCACCTTTGCCTGCTCTCTCCTCTCTCCAGATGTTTCTCTCGTCTCACTGGCTACTCCTTTTTTGTCTCCTTTGTTAGCTAGATTTCTTCCTTCCAATCTCACTGTGCTGGTATGCCCATTGCTCAGTTTTTAGCAATTCTCTCTTTTCCAGTGACATTCATTAGGTAGTTTCATGTGACCCATGACATTATATGCCTTCTACATGACAGTTACTCCTGAATATGTATCTCAGGAAATTTTGGATTTACTTTTAATTAAACTTTTTTTTTAAACAGATGAGGTCTCTCTTTATAACCCAGGCTGGAGTGTAGCAAGAGGGTGGTGTGAATAGCTTAGTGCAGCCTTGAACCATGGACTCAAGTGATCCATGAACTGTATGGGGAAGCTCCTCAGCTTCCTGAGTAGCTGGAACTACAGGCATGTATCATCATGCCTGGCTGACTTTTTTTTTTTTTTTTTGCAGAGACAGGGTCTTGCTCTATTGCCCAGGCTGATCTCAAACTCCTGGCCTCAAGTGATCCTCTTGCCTCAGCCTCCCAAATTGCTGGGATTACAGGTGTGAGACCTGTCTGGGCTAAGATTTGGATCTTATATTCAATTGACGATTTGACATATTCATGTGGATATCTAACAGATATCTCAAATATTGATTAACTTAGCCAAAAATACAGAAATTTTGACCTCTGCCCACACAATACTTGCCCCTTCCTCAGATTTCTCCATTTCTGTTAAATATCCCCATTTCCCCAGTTACTCAGCCCTTAAACCTATGAATGCCCCTTGCTTGCTTTCTTTCCCTCATCTCCCACATTGATGCCATCAGCTAGTTCTGATACCTTTATGCCAATAATATATTCCTCACCGCCTTGTCTCCTATTGCCTGAGTCTAAGATGTCAGTCTCTTCTGCATAGTCCGTTGCCCTGCCCTCCTGACTGATCTGCTTCCATTTTGACATTTCAACTCCTCCTTCCCCCAGGGTCAATTTTCCACACAACAGCAAGAGTAGCATTTTAAAACCATGTATTAGACCATCTCCTTTGTGCTTGAGAACCTCCAAGGGCTTTGCAAGGCCCACCAAGTTCACATCTCTTCTACTGGGTCCTGGCTCTTCCCTGTCCCTCTGCCCTCCTCTCAGACCCTCCACCTATTGCTCATGCTGCTCCAGCCACAATGGCCTTCTTGCCATGCCACATTTGTGCTAAGCCCATGTCCAACCTCGGGGCCTTTGCACTTGGGTTTCCTCTGCTTGGCATGCTGTACCCCAGATCTTTGCATGATTGGCACCTTCTCTACATTCAGTCACCTGCTCAAGCCACCTTTTCAGGGGGGCTTCCCTGGCCTCCTCATCTGAAGCAGCACCTCTGATTGCACTCATCAAGTTATTCTGTATCCTGTTTTCTTGCTTGGTGATTTTCCATTACTGATGAGGAAATGAACCATAGAATGCTAGAGCGGATGACCAGAACTTGCTCCCACCCGCACATTATTACAGAGGAGGAAATGAGGTCAGGGATAAGATGGATCCAGGTTTTCTGCTCTAGTCCAGACTGCAGGTACAGCCTTGACCTCAGCTGTGCTCACTCTTGGCGCTTATCCAACCCTCTATCTCTAGCTGCCCCATTTACCAGAAAATGAAATGTTCTCAGAGACAGTGAGCCCTTGACTTGGACAGCAGCTTAGGGCTCCTGGTACTCTGCTTTCTTCCTCTCTGCCATCCTTTCCCTTCCAAGCCCTGCCGTCCCCTGTGATTCTGGCCCACATGTTGCATTTCATGGTTTCATGACCTGCTTTCTGAGAGGGAATTGAATTTTCACGATTACTTATATAAGCAAATAATTATGCTTATACAAATGAGAAATCTAGTGCTTCTGGACTTCCTAGAGATAAACTCTTATCACTTGGCTTGCTTCCACATTGCTAATTAAGGACCCAGGATGTGAGCGAGATGTGCTAAAAGTTGGGAGGAGGCTCTGACTATGGGCCCACACCCCTGGGCAGGCAACACACCAGTCTTCTAGGTCATCCTCACCCCAGCTTCTAGTTGAATCAGATGTTTGTGAATTACTCAGGAAGGCTGTATGGGGAATGAAGAATGAGGTGGGGAACAGGTCTGTGCAGAAGACACGCTGACTTACCTCTCTACCTCTAACCAGGATGTTGTAGCAGCCAACTACCTGCTGTCTGTCTTCCAGAGCATGAGTGCCTTCCCCCACTTTTATATCTTTCATCTTCTTCCAGCCCACCTACTTGCTGACTCCAGTCCAAGCTTGTAGGGTAGGCCACAGCCTGTCCCTACAGAGTACCCATTGCAGAATCTGACACCAAGTTGAATTCTCCTCTCCACGTACACAGGCTCTCCTTGAAAGCTGGTAGAAGCTGTGGAGGTGTGGTGTGTAACCTGCTGCAGGTGGAGACAAGTTGACTTCACAGCCCTTCAGAAAGACTGCCTTCTTCCAGTTGTATTTGTGTACTGGGTTGGGTGTGGGAAAGATTGACTTTCCCCACTCAAGTTATCGGAGTGGGGAAAGTCAATAATCCTTTCCATTTAGTGGTAGACCATTTCTGTCTTCTAGGCCAAGGACACATAGTGCAGAGAAACAAATTGTTTGTTACCTAGGGAGAGAACTTGGCTCTAAACCTGTAATAGAAAGGTAGATTCTGGTCTGGAGGGGCAATTTTAATCTTTGGCTCAGATCTAGAAATTGGAACCCAAGGCTTTTGAACATTGGGTTCCAGGGGATTAAAAAATGATATCAGTCATTCACAAATATATTTGCTTAACATAAAGAGATCTGTCAAAACATTAGAAAAAACAAGAACAAAAATCTAATAATACAAAATTTGTTAAACACATTTACCAAAAAAAAAATTTTTTTTTTTTTGGTAAAAATTTAAATGTCATAAATAAAGCTAAAGTTCCTCTTAATGACTCGCTCCTTCACTCTATCCCATTCCAAGTAACCACTATTTTCAGTCTGGTCAATACCCGTCCAGAACTCTCTGCCTCTATATACCTTTAGAAGCACATGGGTATGCATTGCAGAAGTGCAGTGTTTTGTTTTATGTAAATGTTATCACTTTGTTCTTGTTCCACAATTTGCCCTTTTCTCTCAATGCTTTTCTTGGATATCATCCCATTTCAGTACCATCTCCTTTTTTTTTTTTTTTGACTTACCATGGTTTATTTAACCTTGCCTCTACCAATAGATATGTAGTAGGTTGTTTCTAGTAGATTTTGTTAAGTATTTATAAACAACACATCAGTAGATGTCCATACATTTCTTTAGGGAAGATGCCAAATAGTGGAATTGCTGAGCCAAAGAACATACTTAAAAAACCCAAAAAACTAGACACTACCAATTTTCTCTCCAAAATGGCTGTACCCACTTACCCATACAGAGATGATTTGGAATCTGGCTTCCTCACAAGGTGAGATGCCTTCACAGTTTCGTTCTTCCTGGCATGTCTTTGCTTTTGGATCTGAGGGGGCTGGTAGAACTGTATCACTCAGTCAAGGATAGAGGGCTGAATGAGAGCTCGAGCTCACAGGCTCCTCTGCTTTCTTCCCAGACCATCTGCTTTCCTGCCACCATCTATGTTCCATCTTACAGAATGGTCGCCACTTGGATGTCTTCTCCAACAGCCGTGTCATCCTTTGCACTGCAGTTATGAAGTAGAGCTAGGAGAGGGGTTCTGCCAGCCTCTGCCCCAGCTTGGAGAACTTCAAAGAAGGAGAGTATTGAGAGTTAGCTGCCAAGGACTGGCAGCTCCCTCAGCTCAACAGTGGTCTTTACACAAGAAGTCAGATATGTATTTTTTGATAAAATCTTCAAAAATTATTATTTTATTTCTGTATAATACATTTGCATGACTCAAAAATCAAACCGTAGGTCAGGCATGGTTGCTCATGCCTGTAATCCTGCAAGTTGGAAGGCCGAGGCAGGAAGATCATTAGAGCCCAGGAGTTCAAGACCAGCCTGGGCAACACAGTGAGACCCTGTATCTAAAAAAATTAAGAAATTTCGCTGGGAATGGTGGCTGATATGGTTTGGCTCTGTGACCCAACTCAAACTTCACATTGAATTTTAATCCTCAGTGTTGAGGGAGGGTCCTGGAGGAAGGTGATTGGATCATGGGGGTGGTTTCTTCCTTGCTGTTCTCATGATAATGAGTGAGTTCTCACAAGATGTGGTTGTTTGAAAGTGTAGCACCTCCCTCTTCACTCTCTCTCTCTCCTGCTCCGCTGTGGTAAGCCGTGCTCGTTTCCCCTTTGCCTTCCACCACGATTGTAAGCCCCCTGAAGCCTCCCAGCCATGCTTCCTGTACAGCCTGCAGAGCTGTGAGTCAGTTAAACCTCCTTTGTTCATAAATTACCCAGTCTCAGGTCATTCGATAGCAGTGTGAGAACGGACTAATATAGTGCGGTATGCTTGTAGTCGCAATTACTCAGGAGGCTGAGGTGGGACGATTGCTTGAGCCTGGGTGACAGAGCAAGACCTTGTCTCAAAATAAAATAAATAAATGAATAGCAAATTTAAAAAAACCAAACTGTATAAAATGTGTTCATAAAAGTGTCTTGTGCCGACACCTGTCCCTATATATCTTATTTCTCAGCCTCTGACAACTACTTTGTTCATTCCTTTTTTTTTTTTTTTTGAGACGGAGTTTCGCTCTTGTTACCCAGGCTGGAGTGCGATGGCGCGATCTCGGCTCACCGCAACCTCCGCCTCCTGGGTTCAGGCAATTCTCCTGCCTCAGCCTCCTGAGTAGCTGGGATTACAGGCACGCGCCACCATGCCCAGCTAATTTTTTGTAGTTTTAGTAGAGACGGGGTTTCACCATGTTGACCATGGTAGTCTCGATCACTTGACCTCGTGATCCACTGTCTCGGCCTCCCAAAGTGCTGGGATTATAGGCTTGAGCCATCGCGCCTGGCCTGTTCATTTCTTATGTATCTTCCAGAATTAAAATAATCAAATGCAAGCGCAGTGGAATGCATTGCTCTTCTTCCCCTATCTTTTGTTACTTCAGAGTTAGCATATCATCTTGTTGTTTTTCAGGTATCAGCATGTCTTGGAGAGGATTTCATATTTGTGCAGAGAGCATTATTGCTATAAGGAAATACCCAAGACTGGGAAATTTATAAAGAAAAGTGGTTTAATTGGCTCACAGTTCCACAGGCTGTTCCACAGGAAGCATGGCAGCATCTGCTTTTGAGGAGACCTCAGGGAACTTTTACTCATGCAGAAGGCAAAGTGGGAGCAGGTGTCTTATATGACAGGAGCAGGACTGAGACGAGAGAGAGAGAGAGAGAGAGAGAGAGAGAGAGAGAGAGAGAGAGAGAGAGAGAGAGAGAGAGAAGGCACTAGAGCAAGAGAAAGAGAGAGAGAGAAACAGAGAGACAGAGAGATAGGAAGCCACACACTTTTAAACAACCAGATCTTGTGAGAACTCTATCACAAGAACAGCACCAAAGAACTCCACTCCCATAATGCAATCACCCCACACCCCACCACCTCCAACACTGGGAATTACAGTTTGACATGAGATTTGGGCTGGGACACAGATCCAAACCATACCAGGGTGCTTTCTCATTCTTTTCTATAGCTGTGTGGTATTCTATGTTCTGTAGTTCATTTAGCCTGTTTTTTGTTAATAGACACTTGAGTTACTTCCATTTTTTCTTATTACAAATGATGTACAATGAATAATTTTGATCATTTTTCATTTCACATGGGTCATATCCAACTGTAGGATCAATCCCCAGGAGTGAAATTGCTGGATCAAAGGGCAAGTGCACTTGTGATTTTCATAGTTAGCAAATTTTGCTCTATAAGGATGATATCAATTTATAGTCCCACATGTAATATTTAACAGTGAAGATTTCCCCACAGTTTGACCAACAGATTCTGTTAAACTTTTGATTTTTGTCAATATGATGGGAAAATATTAGTATCTCTTGTGCTTTTCATTTGCCTTTCTTATTACCAGTAATGTTGAACATTGTTTTACTCTGACCAAGATCAAATAGTATTTTCTTCTCTGTGACAGACTTGTTAATATCCCTTGCCTCTTGTTTTGCTGGATTTTGTTCTTTTTTTGCCCTAATGTTTTGAGGCAGTTCTTTAGATGTGAAGCAAATTATCCCTTTACCTGGAATGTGGGTTGCAAATACTTTTCTCCTGGCTTGTTTCGTGCTTTGACTTTTCTTCTGGTGACTCCCACAATCCTGACAGTGTACGTTTTGCATCATTCATTCTTACACCCCCATGCCCTTGTTCATGCTGGTTCCTCTACCTCAGGGCCTTTTCTTTTATCTGGGAACTTTTTTTAGAGATATGGTCTCACTGTGTCACCCAGGCTGGGTGCAATGGTGTGATCATAGCTCACTGCTGTCTTGACCTCCTGGGCTCAAGTGATCCTCCTATCCCAGCTTCCCAACTAGCTAGGACTACAGGTGCGTGCCAGCATGCTTGGTTGATTTGATTATTTTATTTTTTTGTAGAGATGGAGGTCTCACTATGTTTCCCAGGCTGGTCTTGAGCTCCTGGGCTCAAGCTATCTTCCTGCTTCTGCCACCTAAAGTGCTGGGATTAACGGTGTAAGCCACTACACCTGGCCCATGTGGGGAAATTTTCTGTTCTCCCTTTAGGCTTGATTCATATGTCACTCTCCTCACTCCTTCCTGGATACTCCTTTTGTATTTTATTTTACTCTACTTGGCACATTGCCTTGTTACTGCTTTTACCTACCTGCCTCTCCTATCTGCGGAGGAACTTCTTACCTCTCTTGTCTATGTACTCCCTGCTTCTAGTACATAGCACTTGCTCAACAGATGTTTGCTGCATTGATAGAGAAATCACTGGCAGCTGTTAACTGCCAGTCCCAACTAGCTGCAGTGCTTCAGCTGATCCTGTTTCAGATGTGCACTGAATATCCTTTTGTTGAACAATAGAAATAAAGGGGATGGATAAGGAGGATAGTCTTTGGTGGCTAAAGATGTTTCTAGGTACTTTGCAGCACTCAGCCATGAGGAGTGGGCTTCTAGTCCCCCAAGAACTCTCACAGCCCTGTTTATCTTAACCATTCAGTGTCAAATCCAAGACAAGTCAATGATCAGGAAAGACCTTTTTTTTTGTTTTTTTTTTTCAGTGAAGTTTATTTCAGAACCATTGAACAATGTGATCATACTTGCTCATTTATAATTATTCCCATTTAAATAATCTGAGCTTATACATTTTCAGTCTTAGTGAAAGAACTTGATTTTAAGAGAGCACACCAGTCCAAACTGAATTGATTCCATAGCTATTAAAAATTGGGCTCTTTTACAGACATTGCTACTTTTTGACCCCTTGAATAAATTAAATAGACCAATCAATAACACAAACAAATAAATAAATAAATAGAGAAGCAGTTGCTCATCAGAAGGTGGGAGTGAAGGACAGAGGGTTTCTTAGAACCAAACGTGGCCGTGGTTTCTGTCAGGAGGGCTTTACGTGAGTAGGAGAGGTGGGAGAGGCCTGGCTCAACACGGGCTGAGGATTGGCCCTGAAAGGAGAGAGCTGACTGTCCTGGCTAGTGGACAGGAGATCCTCTTAGCACTACCCTAAGACAGGCACAGGGGCATTGGTGTAGACAACAGGAATGTCCAGGCTATAGCCACATTTAAAACCTTTCTGTTCTCTTTCTTCCAGCCCTAGGGGTTGAGTTTACATTCAGCACAGGACCCGCTGGATACAGATCTCTTTAGGACACAAATTGCATGGTGAAGTCAGTTATATCCTGGCCGCCTTTGGTCCCTCCCAGGAAGACAGGCATGTTTTCTGCTTGAGAGGTGCTGATGTACCAGTTAGGGAACTGGGCAGACTCAAATTCCAGCTTGTTATTGATTTCTGTCTTGTTGAAGACAAATCGCTTTTCCATCTTCTTCTTTGGGTAATTTTTTGGGTCTACACTCTGCAGTAAAAGAGAAAGAATTTTTGTGAGGAAAGGGACAAAAATGCTGTGGGCAAGATGTTCTTTGGGTTGGCTGGAGAGGAGATTGATGAGCGGGTCACCGGATCAGGAGCCAGATTCCTGAGTTATAATTGGGCCCCCAACTTTCTGTGTGTTTACTGAAAGAGCCCTTCTTCTTTTCTAAAACTTAGTGCCAAATACTGAGGAGTAGAATGTAGGTGAGAATTCGTCTTTTTTTTTTTTAAAGGCTAGACCTTCTCGAGGTACCTAGTTTCCAGGGACTTTTTACTGTAGTTTTCCTTATGGTCCTAGAATGACATCAACTTGGAAATGAAGCTTTTGCTGGGAAAGCTGAAGTTGATAATAGGGGTGATTTGGGGAGTGGAGCGGATGTGATTATGCGATCCTTTAGGTCATTTATTTTCCAAAGTGTCTATCAAATGAGAGCAGCCCTAACAATGCATAATCTACAGAGTCGTAACTACGGTAAGACATAATGACACCAGCAAAGTGTCATTTTCTGCAGCAGGATTGAAGGTTGCATGCATTTATAAATTACGTTAAATTCATTTATGTTAATTAAACATTGTCAAATAGGCCTGTTCTCAGCTTTTCCTAGGGGTGAGGGTAGGGAGAAGATGGTTGCCTGGGAATATCTGATACCTGGAGGCTGAGAAGGGCTTCATTCCATAGCATCACTTACCTCCAGCTGTAGAGTGGGCTTCTTATCTTTCAGCACACAGGACAGGTACAGATTCTTTTCTTTGAGGCCCAAGGCCACAGGTATTTTGTCATTACTTTCTTCTCCTTGCACAAAGGACATGGAGAACACCACTGAAGAAAGAAGGGGGTCTTGTGGTTAGGGACACAGCAGTGCAAGGTCAGCCCAACCCCTGGGCCCCATGAGTAGGATACATGCAATGTGGTAGCCCCTGTGGGAACACACAGTGAGGCTCCTTGGCCTAAGAGACAGGATAGCTTGACTTCTCACAGACAAGCAGCAGGGTCATTTGGTTGATTTAGGGTTTCCCCCAAAAGGCCTGAGGGTTTCAGAGGGTAACGGTGGAGAATGAAGAAGGGTCTGCATTTTAAATGGTAAAGGAAGGAAGGAAGCCATTGTGCCACTGGCTGGCAATGTGCCCATCCAGAGGAGCAGAATAATTTGATCAATGTGGAAGATAAGGAAAGAGGTAAATCTGTACTTCTGCCAGAAATGAGGCACCAAAGCTGTTTCAGGAACAGAGCGTAGCCCATGGGAAGAAACTGGGAGAGGAGAGGCTGAGCTGGGAAGGTGGCTCCAAAGAGACACACTCATTTTGATCTTCCTCAGTCACAGCAGTGTCCATTGGAGGCCCCGGGGCCACTCTGACTACTCAGTTCTAAAGAAACAAGATTTTCTTGGCCTGGCTGAGAGCAAATAGCTTTCGCCTGAGTGAGGCTGCCCTTCAAGGTCAGCAGCCTTAGTTGCCCACACTCCTGGGCACAGGCTTTGGCTGTTGTGGCATGATGCCAGGCAGATCACCACAGCTAATGACGGGCTCACCGCACTTGAAACATTTGCCAGTTATAGCAGAGAGATATAAGTTCCTGCTGGGCAGGAAAATTTCCCTACAAGGAATCATCTGGCATTGGGTGGGAAGGATGTTGGGGCAAGGGGGCAAGGCTGGGGATGGGGATGGACATATTATCACTTCACCACTCTTGTTTCAGCCTCAATAACAGGAAAAGAGAACCCACAGGCAGTTGGGCCATGCCCATCAAATGACCCCATATTGTGGAAGCATTGACACAGCACTATGCCCAAGAGACTTGGCTGGACATAGTCTTGGGAGTGCTTGAGCCGTCTGATTTCTCAGGGTCACACTCCTGTTAACAAATGTACCGGCCGGTGCAATCAAATGTGTCATTTCTAGGACCAAACAAAAATTTGTATATTATATTTTAATTTTTTTTTCGCTTGTGTTGATCACTTGCCTTAAGTTAACTTTCTACTCTGTTTAAAACATGGAGAATTAGCAAGCTGCCAGGAGGCCAGGTGGGGAAACCAGGATGTCTCCATTTACCTTGTTGCTCCAGATCCTGTCCCTGGAGGTGGAGAGCTTTCAGTTCATATGGGCCGGACATCACCAAGCATTTTTGTTGTGCATCCCGGAGTGTGCAGTTCAGGGATCGTACAGGTGCATCGCACACATAAGCCTCATTATCCCATGTGTCGAAGATGATAGGTTCTGAAATGTGGAGCACTTATGTTACTTAGGCATAAAATCACAAGGGCAGGCCTCTTGAGGTGAGGCAGCAGAATTTTGTTCCTTGGAGGACATCTGCGCATGGACAGTCAAAGTCTGATGACAACACTGGTGGGGATGAAGCTGGGAGTGGGGTGGGTAAGAACACTGGACCTGACACTATTAGACATAGGTTCCAGCTTCAGCTCTATTACTGCTCACTATGGACAAGCAACAGAGCTACTTAGGTAAAATGATGATGGTCATTAGCCCACAGGGAGGTTACAGACCTCATGGTGACAATGTAAGTGAAAGGGCCCTGAGAAAGAATGAGGGAGTTGCAGATGTTAGCAGCCATCAAGATCTTTAAGAATAGTTTCCACTAAAGAGATGATTGATTTGGTTTCTAGCCTTCTTTGTTTTATCTCCCTGCTGGGCTTTCTATCTTTGAAGGGCTTTGGCTCTGGGGGAATTTAGTTGGCTGGAAGCCTGATGGCTTCCGAGAGGACACAAGTGGAGATCTACTGCCTGTGCGAGGCTAAGTACCTTCTTCAAAGATGAAGGGAAAGAAGGTGCTGAGGTCATTGTCCTGGAAGGTCTGTGGGCAGTAAACTGGCATCCTCCTCAGCTTCTCCATAGCCACGACAACCGACACAACCTGCCTGAAGCCCTTGCTGTAGTGCTGGCGGGAGAGTCGCAGCTGGATGCCGCCATCCACAGGGCAGAGGTCCAGGTCCTGGAAAGAGCACTGTGGAGAGAGTGAGGGAGGGAGCCTGGTGAGGTGGTCCTGCCAGGAGCCATGCTTTGACATCAGAGAGGAGAAAGCTCAGAGAGGAGGAAGGGGCCTGAGAGAATCCCGAGCTTCTAAAGATCATCCCTCTCTGGGCCAGGCGTGCTGGCTCAAGCCTGTAATCCCAGAACATTGGGAGGCCGAGATGGGTGGATAATTTGAGTTCAGGAGTTCAAAACCAGCCTGGCCAACATCGTGAAACCCTGTCTCTACTAAAAATACAAAAATTAGTCAGGTGTGGTGGCAGGCACCTATAATCCCAGCTACTCTGGAAGCTGAGGAAAAAGAATTGCTTGAACCCAGGAGGCGGAGGTTGCAGTGAGCTGAGATTGTACCACTGCATTCCAGCCTGGGAGACAGAGTGAGACTCCCTCTCATAAAATAAGATAAAAAGATTATTCCTCTTTGAAGCTCGGCGGCAAGTTAGAAGCAGACCCAAGACCAGATGTGGCCTTTCTGACACCTTTCAGGCTATTCTTTTAGAATAAATCCCATTTCTACCTTGTTCTTCTTTTTTGTATGTGAAAAAATACAAATATGTTTGTATTTTTACATATTTTTACACCATACATGTATACCTTCTCTATATCTTTTTGTATCCCTAATGCAGTCACATTATGATTTGCTTTCTCATGCGGATGATCCTAACATTTTCCATTCACTTATGCTTGCTCAGCAAGTATTCCATTTTTCTACGCAGTTCCTTTTTTATCTTTTTCATAACACCGTCTCGTGGCATTCTGCAAATCCTGTAAGAGTAGTTACTGTTTGTGAAATATTTTAAAATTACCACTGTCTTCTTATTCAGAGAGGCTCTGTATTAAGGCTTAACTGATGTTGTCTCAAGGCATGATAATGGTTCAAAGGCTTGAAAGACAATTAAAGAGACCTCTAAATGCACAAAAGAAAGTTGAGCACGAGAGACTTTCCTACCTGGAGCAGAACCAAGCTGCTGGAAAAGGCAATAGGGGTGAAGACCAGGCAGAGAAGCCAACGGGCTTCTTCCACGGCTGGAGCCAACCAGTTATGCCAGTCTTAAAGAAATGTGTTTTAACAAGACTGAGGACTGGATTAGGAGGCTAGGGGAGGCTGCCACAAACTGGAAAAAAGTAAAGTCAGAGAAAAGTGGCTTCCTCACAACCTGCACAACTGACCTAACTGGGCCAATGGCTGGGCCACATAGGACAGCTACTGAGAATCATAGAAAACAAAAGGGACAGCGGAAGTATAACATGGCTCTCTGTAAGGATGAGTCTGAAAAATGCCCATTTGCTGCCCAAATGCCCTTAGCTACCACTGAAAATATTTCAGAACCAAAGTTTGCAAGATGCCGGCATCTCGGAGATCATTTAGCTCATGCCCTTTACTTTTCAGATGAGGTCCAAAGCGGGTAAATGACTTGTTAAGGTCACACAGCAAGTGAATAATTTTCTTTCAAGTCTCAATTCATCTTTTTGTTTACATCATTTACATCTTCTTGTTAGAAGCTTCACCCCTGGAAGCAAAAAACTATTCTACTAGAAAGGGGTAGATATTTGTTAGTTCTCAAGATCATCTCTTGGTTTATGAGTTAACTCAAGTGATTGAACTTGATGGAACAAGGCTGAACCTGTCTCCTAAAAGGAGAATCAAATTTGTGTTGAAAACTTGACTGTCTTCCTAGTATAAAACAGGAAACATTGTCGCTACTACTCCCCTGCCGCCACCAAGTGTGGTCACCATCACCAACGTTAGTGAGTGACTATGGTGATATGGTGACCAGGTGGCCAGGTCAGCAAGTGGTGCAGTCTGTGTCTCACTGGAAGAGGGGAAAGTTTTTCTAAAATAAAATACCATGGCATCAAAATGGCTCAGAACTCTTTTCTTTGAGCTTTTCCTGTGTTAGAGCCCTTCCTTGGGTTGGGAGCTAAACCCATAGTCTTACCTTCATCTGTTTAGGACCATCGACTTCAAAGAACAAGTCATCCTCGTTGCCACTGTAATAAAAACAGGGGGATGGCTCAATTATGTCTTCTAAACAGGTTCATTTTTCCTTCCCTGTGTACAAGACTTGACTGTTAATGAGAAACTGCAAACAGCGTGTCACTCAAAGCTGCCTGAAAACACCTGGCAAGTTCCACGATGATAGGCACAGAACAGTCTAGGAGGCAGATTCCGGGCCTGAGAGGTGGGCACCCTGGGTGCTCCCTGTTGGATCCTGAGGCCTAACCTCTAGCCCAGCAGAGTAAGCTAAAATCTGAGCTCTCTGTCTCTCTTCCAAGCCACACTTTGCAAAGGGATTCTTTCTATCGTTGGCTTGGAATCTTTTCTCCTCATTTGCTTCTGCAGGAAGCCCTTGCAACAACATATCTGGATAGCCTCCAAGTCCCAAGGCTGGAGGGACTTATAATGGGAAAGTAATCTTCAAATCAGATTTACTTGGAGCCCTGCTTGCCATGGAAAGAGGCAATTCAGGGGAAAAATCTGGTCTCCAAGCACAGATAACACCCCGCTCTTGAAAGAGAAGTCCTGCTCATGTTACTGGTTTCAGTGTCCCCACTGACCTGTAGTAAGTCATCATTTCACTGGTGAGTTCAGGTACTTCTGCCATGGCTGCTTCAGACACCTGTGTAAAAAGAAGAAAATGAGTGACTTCACCGTGACAGCTAGGTTCATGTGTGATTTCTCTCAGCATCCAGTACATGGCAGACACACAAAGAAGTGATCTCTGAGTGAATGAATGAATATGTGAAAGAGAAGTCCTTTGAGTCTAGAGAAAAGAATTTGCTAAACCAAACCCAAACTAGCAGTGCATTTTTGAGGTGAGCTGTAGAAGAGGCTTTGACACTAACCTTCAGGGTGTCAGGTGCTAGATAAGCAGTATTCATTCCCAGAATATTTCTGGAGTCATAAGCAATTACTTTACACCTGGCATATTTGCAAAAAGCTGAGAGAGGGAGGCAGAGATGGAGAGAGCTAGGAAGAGAGGGCAGGAGAAAGAGAGGGAGGGAGAGAGAGAAAGAGAGAGAGAGAGAGAGACAAAGAGGGGGGGAGAGAGAGAGAGAGAGAGAGAGAGAGAGAGAGAGAGAGAGAGAGAGAGAGAGAGAGAGAGAGACTCCCTTAGCACCTCCCTTCCCTAGTTGTAAGGAAGAATTAGTTAAAGTCATACTTGAGCAATGAAGATTGGCTGAAGAGAATCCCAGAGCAGCCTGTTGTGCCTTGTGCCTCAAAGAGGTTTGCTATCTGCTAGTTTCTCCCTGACTGTTTTATGGCCTTCAAAAGCAGAAGTGAGAGGCTGAGTAATTTCTCTGTTGAGAAATCAAGTCAAAGGACTGGGGGATGGTGGGAAGAGGATTGGTGAAAACTCCTAGGGGAGGGAGCTGTTAAGCTGAAATAACTCTCTGGTTCATGGAAAGGAGCAGCAAACTATTACACATTTTATCAATATATCACCATGCAAATACACATGGTTTTTCTGACAACCATTGTGCAATTGATGTCGACATTAAAATACTGGATTTTCCTAGGTTAGAAGAATGTTTAAATTTATGATATCTGGGACGAAGTGGACGACACACAGATTTGTACACACAAATCCTCTTCTTCATTCATTTCTTCCTACTTAAATTTAGGAATCTTCTCACTTAGAGATGGATAAATGGGTACAATTAAGGGGCAATAGCCCTCTGTGTCTGGATTGAGGGTGCGGGTCTCCACCTTGGGTGCTGTTCTCTAGCTCAGGAGCTCTCCATCAATTGTAGGAGCCTCTGGGGAAACACTTGGCTTTTCTTGGATGGGGCAGGGAACATACAGCATGCAGGAGTGCAAGCTCCTGACAGAGTTGGGGCAACCCTGGAGGTAAGCTCATGTGACCCTGGAAGACCAGGTGTTGTTATCCCAGTCAGTCTCTTGGATAAATCAGATCAATGCCAGATGATCTCTGCCTAAAAGAATTTTTTGGTGAACTCTGAAAAGTGGAATATTGTTTCTGTAAGAATATCCATCTGAGACTCTATCTCTTGCTAATGCCAGAGTTATCAGTCTCTCTTTAACCAAGACACCAGCAGAGTACCTGCTCCAGGGTACTGCCCAGGGGAACCCTCCATCTGAATGAATGAGAGTCCAGGTTATGAACAGTGCCTGGAGTCTAGGAACACCCTCCTTTGCCTCTGGCAGATCTGCACTGTAACACTTCTTACAACACTGAGTTGAAATCTTGCTCCCTGTTCTGGTTCCTCTAGGAAGCTGTGAAATCTTTTTGAGCCAAGTTTAGCACAATGCCTGGTATGTACATTAGGTGGTAGAGTTTGCTGCTTGAGTGGGCAAATGGGAATTTCTTTTGGGGGGGGGGGTGTTTCATTACTTTATTTGAAATACTGTCAAGTTCCAGAACATCAGAGACCATCATATACATGTACAAAAATACATTAATGTCCATGGGCATGGTTATGTGCTGTGCTAGTATCAAACTGTAAATTCAGAAAATTCAAACTTCTTTATACGTTCTCCATTATAGTACAAAAGGCCTCTTTATAATAATATAATATGTAATGCCTGTTATCGTTTTTCTATATTTACAGTGTCTCTGCATTAGACTAACAGTGTAAATAGGAAGGAAGCTGTTTTATTATTTTATTTATTTATTTATTTTTTATTGCATTTTAGGTTTCGGGGTACATGTGAAGAACATGCAAGATAGCTGCATAGGTACACACATGGCAGTGTGATTTGCTGCCTTCCTCCCCTTCACCTATATCTGGCACTTCTCCCCAGGCTCTCTCTCCCCAATTTGACAGCATTTTTATTCAAATGAACATGTGCCAGGTATTGTGCTCTTTCTGCATTATCCAAGGGAGTGAGCCCCTGTGTGAGCTCCTGTGAGAGTATTTGAGGCACCAAGAAAATAGGCTCTATTGTGGGACAAAGAGCATTTCATGGACTTGCTTGCCAAGCAGTCTTCTGATTTTTAACTTGGCTCCCAGTATCTTGATATCAGGAAGGCAGACATAGAACTCCGTCTTTAGTAAGTTATATTTTCCACAGGAAATCTAAAAGCTGTTCAATGTGCTAGTTTCCTGTGAATTTGAGAAGCAATACTCCATTCCTAACACTGAGCCCTCAAGAAGTTTGGTGTCTGGACCTGTAGATAGCTGAAGGCCCTGTCTGGGTGGCCTAGGGGACTCCTCTGTTTTGCCTTCACAGGATCCACTTTGCAAATTAACAACTGGTCCCCACCAAGCCCCCGCTGTAGGAACTGCCATCTTCCTCAGAGTCTTTCTTTCTCTTTCTATTTTTCTTTTCTTTCTTTCTCTTTCTCTTTTTTCTTTTCTTTCTTTCCTTCTTTCTCTCTTTCTCCCTCCCTCCTTCCCTTTCTTTCTTTCTTTTTCTCCCCCTTCCCCTCTCTCTCCCTTTCTCTTTCTTTCTTTCCTTCTTTCTCTTTCCTTCCCTCCCTTTTTTCCTTTCTCTCTGTCTCTCTCTCTCCCTCCCCCTGCTTTCTTTTTTTTGAAGTGGAGTCTTGCTCTGTCACTCAGGCTGGAGTGCAGTGGCACAATCTTGGCTCACTGCAACCTCCACCACCCAGGTTCAAGCGATGCTCCTGCATCAGCCTCCCGAGTAGCTGGGATTACAGGTGCGCATCACCAAGGTTGTCTCATTTTTGCATTTAGTAGATATGGGGTTTCACCACGTTGGCCAGGGTGGTCTTGATCTTCTGACCTCATGATCCACCCACCTCAGCCTCCCAAAGTGCTGGGATTACAGGTGTGAGCCACTGTGCCCTCCCCTGCCCTGCCCTCCCCTCCCCTCCCCTTCCCTTCCTTTCCCTTCCCGTCCCTTCCCTCTCTCTTTCTCTCTCTCCTAGACAGAGTCTAGCTTTGTCCCCCAGGCTGGAGTGCAGTGGTGCAATCATGCATTCATTGCATGATCAGGGCAGCCTCGAACCCTTCCTCAGAGTCTTTATGTGGCAACCAGAAGGGTCTGGAGGGCTGGTGGCTCTGTGGACTCTCCTGACAGCACACAGAGATGCCTTCGGTCTGTTGACGAGATTACAAGCTGAGCAAAGGAGGGTCAAAGCCAGTAAAAGGAAGGGAGATATGCAAGGGATCGGAGCATCGCTCTGAGTTAGTCCATTCTGCTTCTGGGACTTGGCATACAGGTCAGAAACCTTGAGCTTCCACTTCTCCATCTTCCAGTTGTAGCATCCAGGACCTCAGAAGTTGCCAGCTGAAAGGAGCCTTAATGATTGGTGGGATCTAGTGGGACCACAGAGACAAAGACATGAATAGCTATATGAATGGGAACAGCAGACAAAGAAACCAAGGCTAGGACGGATGAAGTGACTCATCCAATAGCACAGTGTGGTTGAAGCAGCACTAGTATCCAGGTTGCATGAGCCCCTGATGCTTTTGCTCGAGGGAAATTTTTTAGCAATGGTGCAATGCCCCTGATGTAACAGTCTCCACAGTTCTGCCATGTCTCATCCTGGCCCTGTAACCTGGACTCAAACCTGCCACCATTCCGTCCATCTCAGGAAGTGAAACCTCTTATGTCAGGCAGTCAGGTTGTGCAATGTATGTATCAGATCCTGTCTTCCCAAGGTAATCACTCAGGCCACAGCACTTCCTTCCAATCCCCAGTGGGCAGAAAATATCTCTCTGTAGAAGTAGTTACACTAAGGGTGGGAGTGGAAAAGTGATGATGATGTAGATGGTGATGTAGCCTCAAGGAACTGGAACAAGCAGAAGTGGGGAGCTGGCAGCGCCAGGATGCTCCAGCTTTTGGGGAATTTTTCAGCTCTTGAGTCACTAAAGCCTTTCTCAGCTGCAAGTTTCTCTTCACCCTGGCAGGTCATTCTTTCAAGATAGGAGACTGACACTTATTCAAAGCAGCAAGTGCCCTGATACCATCTTGTGTCTGATCATGGGCTTCCTAGCTGGTTATCAAGGTTGACCTCATCTCATTGGTCTTCAATCATTTTGAACAAGAAGACAGCAAAATAAACATGAGTTAGTTCTTATATTATCGTGTGTACATGTAGTGATGTCCGTTCTTTGCAGTGGGCTGTTCCTTCCTTGTTCACCCTCTTGCTTAGAAAAGAACTAAGCAATCTGCCTTCACCATTTTCCTCAAGCCCCATCTCATTCTTGGCATTGGCTTCCTAACATTATTCTTATGAGCTTCATTTTCTTCCATCATTTCCATGAGTCCCTGTGAGATCTTCAAGTATAAACAGCATCTCTGTGGATATTTCTCTCCTTTCCCTCCTGCTTCTGGAATTATTTGGGAACTGGTGCTGTGATTTTTATCATATTGCTTCCACTCCTCTTACAGCATCATCTCCAATGGGCGTCTTCTTCCTCTTAAATCCAGGTACTCTGATTGGGGACATGCAGAGTCTAAGGGACATTCCATTCTTCTCCCTGGTCTAGAACAAGGAGGGCTTAGATATATGAGCAGGCGTCTGGGGCTGGCGAGGTATGTGGTCTCCAGTGGCTTTTCCCTGCTAGCTGAGTTGTTATGCCAGTCTGGGAGGCCAGTGAGACCTTGTCCCTCCTTTACATCCATCAGAAAAATCCTCTGGGTGGGTAAGGTAGATAGCAGGGCTCTCCTACTCTGTGTCTTTTCTCATACCTAATGGGTATAAGAGAGAGGACTGTAAACAGAAGGGATCCTGGTACCACTTAACCAGAGTCTGGAAACATTTTCTGTACAGGGCCGGATAATAAATGTTTCAGGTGCAACTACTCAACCCTGCATTTTTTCAGAAAAGCAGTCAGATAATGCATAAATGAATGGGCGTGGCTGAATTTGTCTTGCAGGTCCAGGTCTTATATCGTTGTATTATATCATTTTTTCTTACATATAAATTTAGAAGCAATACTTTTTTTTTAAGCTGTCCTTTATTGAGAATCTACTAAGTGCCAGGCACCTTTTTTTCCTCATTATCTTACTAACTCTTCAATAAACTTTAAAGTAGATAATTGATTTGACTTATGCAG